TTATTATATTATTATATATGTTTATTATATTACAAAAAGGAACTCTACATACTCTTTGTATATGCCCTATACATATTAAAGCTGAGAATTTAAAATGGAAATACAGAGCTTGGATACACCATCTAACAAATTGTCATGATTCATTAAAGTAATAATAATAATACTAATATCAATAATAATACACGAATATTTGATACACTTAACATTAATATTTGTTACCTAAAAATAAAATAAATGTATTAGGTATACCCTATATAAATTAACAATGTAATTCTTATATAAAAAGCACAAATTCTCAACCCTAACCCTTAACATTGACAATTACTTAAAAGCATAGAGCCAATCTATATAACAAACAAAAGAAATGTTTGCTTAAGGCTCTATGGAAAATTTCCAACAAAACTGTAACTAACGGGTATAACTACTACTTACTAAAAACAAAAACAACTTACCATGGAATTAACGCAAGAAATGACCACACTTCAACCAGAGCTCAAAATTCATATTTAAAGATCATTATCTTATTGTTAGATTTGTCAGCTTTAATGCTCTCTCGCTCATTGATAAAGTGTAGCAATGTGGGGCTATATGGGACGGGCAATGTAATATTCGAATACCGTTAAGTGTTTGTCCAATCTCAATAATTCCAATGGAGTGATGTGCCATACGTAATGTATTTATTCCTGTCTATTCATAGGTATTTATATAGATATATTTAAAATTCATAGCCAGCTGTCAGAGGCGGCAACGGTAGAGGCAGCGGCCGAGGCAGAGCCAGCGGCAGAAGGCAGAAGGCAGCGGCAGCGGCTGGGCGTTGTCTTGGCGACAGGCGTTGGGGATGCCGTGCGACGATGTCGTCAGCAGGCGAGCTAACGGGACTACGTGCCTAAACTCTGGCATACGTTAAAGACAAGTGTGTGTGAGGCTCTATATGTGTATGTGTGTGTGTGTGTGTGAGTGTCTTTGTCTGTGTGTATTTTCTTTGCTCCAAAAGTGCCCTCACGCTTATTGAGTGCCAATTTTTATGTCGTTAATGCGACTCCAGATGAATGAGTGTGCCTCCGTGTATGCGTGAGTGTATGTGTTTGTGTGTGTGTGCTCTAGAATAAGCTGCCTACTTTTCTCTCTCACTCTCTCGCTCTCACTCTGCTTTGACTGCTGTACGCTTGCCTGCTGCTTAAAGCAATTTACGATTAGCAACTCCTCATCGGCTTCTGTTTCTGTTTCTGTTGCTGCCTCTCTGTCTCTCCCTCTCCCACTCTCGCTACATATATTCTCTACCGTTCCAACAGCCTCAGCCTTAGCCTCTCACGCTCCCACTCCCACTCCTTCTCTCTTTCCACTCGACAAACTTCTTTTCACAGTCTGCTTTACACCTTGCGGTTTTTTGTATTTACATTTACGCTGTGCGTCTCAAATCGTTTTATTTATTTGCTACACTTGGACTCACACCGACAGCGAAGTCTAGCCCTCTCCCTCTCCCTCTCCCTCTGTCTCCCTCGCACACTCAGTCCGCACATATGTTTAATACGCCTCTGCAGCTTGCCATTATTATTATTATTATTGTGCCTGTGTGTGTGTGTGTTTTATTTGTTTGTTTGCCATTTGTTATTGTTTTCCCGTTATGGCTTCCCTAACTGTTGTTGTTATTGCGGTTTTAAGTGTCGACTCAATTGGCGCGTTTCTTAAATGAATATTAATGGTCTCTCGAATGCGAAATTAATAATTAAATGCATTGCAAATATTTCATCTTAATGGAAAATGTTTCTATACCCTGACTCTCACCTCTAATGCCAAATCAATGTCGCCACAAAAGCCGCCAAGGTGATACAAAGGGGCAGCAGCAACAATAGCTTCAAAGTGCCCCATTGCTCTCGCATTGCCTAGGTAATCGCTTTGGGTGTAGTTGAGGTTTCGCAGAAATTTATAAGTGCATGACAAAGTTCAGGGAAACCCAAAAGATAAAAAAAATCAAAACGAGATTTTTAAGTTTCTTAAGGTTATCGAATTACCTTTGAAATATATTAAATTAAATTGAGCTAGAAAACGATCCTCAAAATTTGCCACGTGCCGGTTAATATTTTCGGGGGAATTTCGTGGTGTTTGCTTAGATATTTATATAGTGTGTAAGGGAATGAGTGAGCTTTTATACTTATTTTAAAGAAAAGTCTATAATCAATGTAAGTCTTAGGAGTAGTCACTTCCATTTATACATGCTTAATTTAGAGCATATAAATGTAAATTTATTTTTGTTCTTGGAAAAACATCTTCACAGGATTCGAACTCTAGTCCAACTCAATTGAAGCCAACAACAGATCCACAACGCCACGCTTGGCTATATAGCTTTAGCAGCAGCTGCGATAAATACAATACAAGCTCAAAGGCAAACGCTGCTATTAACAGAATTCTAATTAGCATGCAAGCAGTTATATGTATGCATATTGGAATTCTTGGACTTTGTTTAATTACAGCAACGCTTTGCCAATAAAAATTTACGTTTGCTTTAATAATTTGCATATTACTTAATGAAATTGGTTGACATTAATAAAACTGAACTTATAAACCTTAATTAATTTATTTAAATGAGATTCATAAATTAATATAAATGAAAAGAGTTTGTATTTACTAGTTAATAACAAATGGTGTCCAAGTTTGCCGTAATGAAGAATAATAAAATTTATAAAATTTTCTGCAATAACTCAAACTTTGCCTTAACCGAATTAAAGCTAAGGAATTATTAGTAAAGTAATAATGTTGGTGATTATATTGAGCCACAATTTCAGCTTTAACTGCTGCGTCAGATAATTTGGTTAATTAAATTTGATTAGCGAATTTGATAGCCACTTGGGCAGCTAATTAGAGTTTGCAGAAAATTCGAGTAGCGCTTCGCACGTAACATGCAATTACAGGACAATTGTGGAAAACCAGAATTAATAGATAGCAACCGAAAATGAGCAAAAATAGAATTGAAATTCAAGACCGCAAGCCATAAAAATAAGTCAGTCACAATTCGGGGACAGTTGATAAGGCCAAGAAGATAAGCCACTCGACGCGGACCCGATGACAACTTGGCTCGCAGCTCAGCCAAGCGACAGCCAGATTTATTCATTTTTTTAATAAGTTGAACAAAATGTGGCATTTGCCGGTTGCCAAGCGAAAAATGAAATGACTGACTGATGATGATTGTGATGATGATGATGATGATGATGATGATGCTGCTGCGTTGCTGCTGTTGATTTTGCTGATGTGCCCATGTGCCACCTAATTTGCTAAAAAGTAAATTTCATTCATGTTTGACTGTCGCTGCATTCAAGTTGATTTAAGCTAATTGAGCAGTCAAAGTAGCTTGACATTGGCCGGAAATCGAGTTGTAGTCTAAGCAAACACTGCTTAAAAGCCAGCCCGCACCTTGTTTGTGCCCGCTAAAGCGAATTAATCACTCTGCCGCTTATCTTACAGCCCCCATCCAGCCCCAACTCAACCAGCTTAGCCACAAACTCGACCCAAAACTGGCAACTTTTGACGCTCCCATTTCCGCTATTCGTTTTTATGAATTTTCAGGTCGCTTTACGTTTAAAGTTAACGCCTTCAACTTTATCGATAAAATGTCCCCTAACAATAATTCGCCCACACCAAAATGGCGAGCGCTCAAAAGTAGGCAACACTTTTGGCCATTGACGTTGATAAGCAAAGTTTCACACAAATTTTACATTTATTTTCAACAATCGAGTAAATTCTATAAATATACAATAGATACATACATATATGTATATATTTACATGTCTAAATCTTTAATAATTGGTCTATGTACAAGGACACTGTGCACACGAAACAAATGAATTTTCAATTGATTTGTTTTGTTTAAAGTCTTAGGCCGAAATCTTATTGTAAACACTAGAATTAAACAATTTTGATTAGCTTAAAGCCGGCTGCAGCGCCCTGGCCTAAACGACTAGACATGAAAAACACATTAAATTCCATTTATTTTATGCAACAACAAAACAAGCTCCATGAAACTAAAAGTCATCAAGCTTGTGTTGGGCCGTTCCTGAAATCGTTTTCGTTTGCGCCAAAGCAATTTGGCCAAGTTTATAGTGCCAACTCTCTGGAGAGCTTTTAAGTGCTGATTTGGTTAGAGTTTTCGTTGTGTGTTGAGATTTTCTTTTGTTTCTTTTTTTACATATGCAATTTTTGGCTTGAAGCTTAGTTTAGGTTAAAATAATTTCAGTTTCGCTAAGAGACAAACTTTATATATGTATATATATTTTTTTTATATATATTTCGTTTATCATTCTGTAACAATCACACGAGCTTTTAACTTATACACATTTAAAATCTTTAAACAAGAACTTAGCTTAAGGCAAGCTTTTCACTTGCTCGCCACAATTTTCGTACAATTTTCCTAACCTGGAACATAGTTGATTTATGTAAAGTTTGTAGTTGCTGCTGCTACTCCATAATATTTCCTGTATACTCCGTGGGGACGTCGAGCTGCTTAGTTTAATGGCGACTCCTGCAGCCGGTGCGACAGGTGCGCGACGCCCTTGGCTGGACCGAATGCGCTGAGGGGCGTAAACTCGTAGCCGGCGGTGTCAATTGGGGGCGCGGCCATGTTGGAGGCTCCATTGGGCAGTGTCGTAATCGTAGTCTCCTGCAAGCGACAGCTACTGTGTGCAGTGGGGTAGATGGGGGAGATGGAGAGTTGGCTTAGCTGCTGCCGATATAATGACCCCACCTACTAGTACTACTCAGACTCAGACCCAGAGTCAGACTCACCTGCGCAACGTTGTGCTCTGATAGCAGGAGTGACGCGACTGATAACGCTTGGAGGCTGTGCTGGTCAGCGAGGTATTGCGATGCATGCAAAAGGTGTCGTTGTGCTGATTACGCTTCTTGCGACGTCCACTTATGCCACGGCAAAACAGATATCTGGTTGCGTAAGACATTTGGCCAAACAGACGGGGAGGCATGCAATGAAAGCCAAGCAAACAAGAACAAACAATATATATATTAAATTACAATTACGATTCAAGTACAAGTGCTTTAAATGTGCCGGAAAATTTGGTGAGTTCTGGTTGAAATTGTGTGGAAGTATCTTGAGCAGAACTATGCCTAATATACACTTAATAGTTATATATGTATATATATAA